TGTCTTGGGCGACCGACAATTGATGGGAAGACGGCACGTGGAGCATCGTCTCCGGCAAAACCGGCTTTGCACATACCGGAGCCATTGTCTACAACCAAAGCAGCAACTTCGTCGTCACACATTTTGAATTTGTTTTAGTTTCTGCAAAGATAAAATTGAAAAAAAAAACGATTCCATTATAATTTGGCGAAAAAAAATCCATAAAATTGGTGTTGATTTCTAACAAAACTAAACTTGATATAAAATACAATTAATCGTCATCGATGGAAATTGAGAGATTTTTTTTTGGATATAGCACGATATTTAAAAAATAATACGTGGAAACTAAATGAATGATTAAAACGTGAAGAAATTGAAGTCGTGAAAAGTACTGAATTTTAAATGAAAATTTGGAAAACGTAACGAAATTGGTTTTCGATATTTGCGCGCGTTGATTTTGTCGCTTTTTATGTTATCCAATTAGCATTGAAATGGAATTAGATGCTGAGCACTTTTGAACAATATTTCTCGTAAAATTCGAGATTCACATTTACTCTGATAACTGATTTCTTCAAATATTTTTGGGAATTTTCATTGAAACAATTTTCAAATTAATTTTCGTTGCAAATCACAATAATCCAAATTTCGGTTGAAGATAGAATGATCACTTTGAATTTCTTTTTTCCATCTTTTCAAAAAAAAAAAAATCTCACTCAATTTTTTGTTCACAAAATAAGACACAAACCCTTTAAAAATATGAATATTTAACCGACCTTGCGAGTCCACGAACTGAGTCCAAAACAGCGAGTGAGCCTTCGAATGCTCATCATCAAGTATTTATACCTTCCCAAAAACGACCAATCAAAGGATGAAGTGCGCAGACGCAATAATTTTAAAATCTCACTGAACGCTCTTTTTTTAGTGTATATGTTTATCGATAAGAAACACCGTTCTCCCACATAGCGTTTCACATATTTTCATAGACATATTTTTTTTTTCATTTTCTATAAATATTTTCCGTAACACGTTAAGAACCAAAAAAAATAGAAATTCGGTTTACGTTTTGGATGGCATTGTGGCTGTAGATGTGTTTGTGGCGTTATGTGTGTGTTTTAGATTCTACTGTGAAATCGAACAATCGGCTACGTTACATTTCTTTTTTAAAAATATGAACATGAAAGATGAAGGAAAAAAAAATCGTCGGCCCCAAAATAGAAAAATATCGTTGAATGCTGTAAAATCGAAGCAACGCCCGCTCTCTTTTCTCAGATCATTGCGTTAAATTCAAGCGATTTGCCATCCCATACATGGACCGAACCATATTTATACACTTTTTCTGACTATTTTTCCTTCAAATATTCGGCTTTAAAAAGTTTTTATGCATGAAGAAGATTTTGACGATTGCATTTTCTAAAATCAAAAACTCCGTTTCTCTGCCGTTGACAAAGTTTGTTTTCCTAAACGATGACCGAATGCATTTTGACATATTTTCTACATCAACATATTGATGGAGATTCAATGAAACTACCTGAAATTCAATGAGATATATAGAATAACATATTTCATTTCCATTAAATTGAATTTGAATTCATTTAAATTTTAATCAATAAGATCGAATATTTTTAAGGAAACCACTGCTGGGTGATTCACAAATCACGACATGTAAACACATTTTACGATACATTTGCTCTGTTTGATCTATTTCAGTGTATTTTGAAGACAGAAAAAAAATGTAGTACAATCGTAGGCGGGTGCTCCATGTCGACTGTAACCAATTACACAATGGATTCAAATGTAGAAGAAAAAAATATCCTCAACTATTACGCAAAAATGCTATGTGGTTGACACCGTTATATTAATAAAAAATATCGCGTGCGCGCTAAAATTTGGTGTGAATGTCTGTTAAATGTAGCAATATGCTAATAAAATGAAATATGTGTAACACTTTTCAATACTTTCAAATGATATAATAATAAAAGGAATGAATAGACATGCATTTTATCGGCAATTTGTATTCAATTTATTGATTTACTCATAGAAATATAAAATATATTGTCACAAATTCTCTGAATATATATATTTATATATAAATGTATGGATTTGTTTCTAAGTCTCATTCGAAAAATAGGGTATTTTCGTAAACGGAATACATAGATAATTCGGCCTTGCGTCATTTTTTCTGTTGTTGTTTTTGTTTTCGCGTAAAAAAAAGGCGGGAACCGTTATCACTGATATTTAAGCAAATAAAATTTGGGAGAGACTTTTTTGCTAGAAAAACAAACAAGTTTCATTCGTTCATATTAAATCGAATTAATGGAAAATACAAACTAAATGTATTAAATGCATTTCTAAAGACTTTAGCTCAAAATCAATATAATCTCAGTCGGAATGTGCAATGAATTTAGCTCAACATAAAATATTAAGTACTTCAATCAAATTATAGCCTTTGAATTCTTTTGTTGTCGTTTTTGTCATCTCCTCATTGTCTTTATCTCATCTCATAACATTCTAAAAAATATATTCTCCTGTAAACACTAGTTGAAATCATTCTGAATTTCATAGTATCCAGCTTTAGTGTATAAATATAAACATACGTTTTAAAAACAGTATTCTCATTTCTCATTTTTGCAATAGCTTTTTTTCTTCTTTTTTTTTGTTTCATTATAGTTTTTTTTTTTTTTGTGTGAACATTATTTCAAATATATATTTTATTCAATTATTATAATATACAATTTTTGAACTACGTAGCATAGTAAAATTTAAAAATATTTTTTTTTTTACCAGTGTAAATATTAAAATGGCATATTTTCTATAACTCTCATTTTTCCTCTCTCTTTTTCTCTCTTGTTGTTGCTATTTTTAGAATCTTACTTATTTATTCGTTGTTTTTCCGATCATATCATGCATATTCAAATGGAGCACAAAAAAGTGTCCGTCTAAATCTATCGCATAGGATACAATACTCTTCTGTTTGGAATGTTGTTGTGAAAGTGTTTCCTTCGGTGTGTTTTCTTTTTTGAGCAACATCAAAACTATGTTGGAATTTTGCCGATTTTTTTTTCTTCGTTCTCGGTCGGTTTCTCATTCAATCTAACGATTTGCCTACACATATCAATATACTCTCTCTATTTCAAAAAGAGAAAAACAAAATGAACCGTTTAAGCATGCTGCTCAAATTGTTGCCTCAATAAAATGTCTGAATGGAATCTATTTTTGTTCGGCTCGAATATTTTTTTCCTTCCTTTTCAAATCTGAATCAAAAACTTTTTTTTTTGTTCGTATTGCTTCCACTTTGCTATAGTTTTTTTTGTTTTTTGATTACATAAGGCACACAAAATTAAATGCATCTTTATTTTCATCCAATTTTCCAACTATAATTGGGTTGTGATGACGGTTTTTCGTATGGGCGCCTTTGGTTTGCTGCTGGTTGTTACAAAATCTTCTGATGAGACAAGCCACGGTGACACCATTGCCGCTTCAACAACATCAATTTTTGGTGTTCCATTGCTATTTTGGTCGTTTAGCTGCTCATTCTGAAAAGACAATTTTTAGATCAATTCAGATTTAACGAAACAAAAAAAAAAACGGCGACTAATAGGAAAAACATATTTCATTATAATGTATACTATAGTAACGTATTTGTTTCTTTTTTTTTCTTTGCTTACATCAAGGTAACGAACAAAATATTTACGCATAGAAAACATTCAATACTTTTGACAAAAATAAATTCATTTTTCAATGAGATTATAGAAAATATGTACAGTTCACAATATGCGTGTAGGTATGTTTCGGTATATGTGTGTATGTGTGAGTGTGTGCATGAGTATTATGTTTACAAGTGTTTAGACAATAACAAATGTGACTAAAATTAAATAAAATATATTCAATTCACCTCGATATTTTTCTTATTTTTATTCTTTTCGTCCAGCGATGGTTCAGCTTTATCGTTGACCGCAACATTATTATTTTTTATGTTATTTAATGCATCATTGTTGTTGGTTTTTATTTTAACCGTATTATTTTCGTTGTCAATTTCTTCAATGGCAACTGTAAATGGATTTGTGGGTGCTGGCATTTTCGGTGCGTCCATTTTGGATATTAAAGTAACGATCGTATCGTTGTTGTTCTCGCTACAAATCGAAAGTACATCGTTTGTTTTGAAATTGTTATTTATCGATGAAATGGATTCTGGTTCAATTGAATTGGCTGTTAGCGATACATGGAAAGGATTTGTTGTATGTATTGATGTTGATGTTGATGTTAATGTTACGGGTGACGTATTCAAAAATGGATTGGTTGATGGTTTTGTTATTGATTTGCTTGAATCGGCTTTGAATTCGGCATTGAATATATTCAATGATGGTACGCTGATTTTTTCCATTGTGCCACGTTTCTCTGAAAAATGTGTCACCGTTACCGTATCGGCTGGCGGTGTTGGTGCAACACCATTTAACGAATTTTCTACATCTAATGGCAATAGAGTTGGCGATTCGGCTTTTACACCAACTGGAAATGGTGACGATGGAAATACATTCGACAGCGGTGATGCCAAATTCGATTGACCCGCATTTGTATTTTTTGTCATATTTGTTGATCCAGTCAAATTTAATGTTAATATATCACCTCCCTTTGTTTTCATGAATTTTTATGTTCAATTTGATCAAGCATACATTTACAAAAAATAAATAAATGGTAGATATGGACGCATGAAATGTAATATAGAACATGAGACGAACAAAATCGACGATCAAACAAAAAAAAAAACGAAAAAAGGTTCAATTAGCAATACAATAAAAAAAACAATGAAATTTTGAACGAAACAATTCACATTCGAAATGAAAAGCGACAAATAGCAAAGTGAGATATTTCTTGATGTGTGACTTACCACAGACACAAATGTAGCGGCGCCCAATGAATCTTCGCCATTTAACACTGAATTTGTATTGCCCAAGTTGTTTGTGTTCATAGCCGATTTAACAAATAATTGATTTGTCAATTTTGTTGGTGTTGAAATTGCCTCCTCTTCTGCGCGTGCTAAAATTTCGAAAATGTGTTTACAAAAAAATTGATAAAGAGAGTTTACATTTAAAAACAATGGACTTCAGAATTAGAAAAACTTGGGATTCCATTGAAAATGCCGAACAACAGATTTTTTTTTTTAGAAAATAGAGTTGTTATAAATCATACCTTTGAGAATATTGCACTTCATTTGACTTGGCGGCAACGGTGTTCCACCAATCGACGCGAGTTTTGTCTGATTGTTTGGCTTATCTGCAACTGAGAGTCTCTTCAAAGTATCTGTATTATTGTCCAAATCCGAAGTTTTGTTTATAGTCACACTGTGAAACCAACATGAAAATTGAGAATTTGAATTCATGGAATTGATCAGGCAATATATTGAATTAACTGGTCAGTTGAGCTGACAGTACGTTAGCCAGCTAAATGGGCTAAAACAATAGACGTTATTGTTTTAATGATGAATCACTTTTCTTTTTTTAGTAGAAGTGATTGTTCATTATAACAATAACTTCTATTGTTTGAGTCCATTTGGCTGGCTAACGTACTGTCAGCTCAACTAACCAGTTAGTTCAATATATTGTCTGGAATTGATAAATTTGAAATGATAAATATAATTTACCGTATGCTGTTGACGTCGTTTAATGATTCTTGCATATTTGCAATTGTATTGGCGGAATCTTTCGAAATTGTTTTGAGAAGACTGTCAATATTTTCGTTGCCGGTTGTAGTGGTAGAGCTGCCACTTTTAGCACTAAACGATGAACAAATTGACGCTTTTCCAAACGAACTGTATGCAATTGTGTTGAATAAATTCGATGGTTCCTCAACCACTTTACTACTTTTTGATGTTGATGGCTGCTCAATATCCAATCTATTGATTAAAAATTGCATGTTTTTTTTTTGTAAATAAATTCTCCATTATATAATTACAAAAAAAAATTTAACTTACTTCTCAGTAGTTTTGTTGGCCTTAAGATCTTCGTTTGATGAAATCGATTTGTTCGAGCACCGACTAGCCGATTGAGGAAACGATTTTTCCGAACCGCTCGCCCCTACCAAATGATTTTGTATGATTGTCTGCACCGAAGATGTGGATGGTGTTACAGAGGAGCTATCTTCAACATTTGATGTTCGTTCAGAACTTCGAGTTGCAGCAGCTGAATCACTTTCCGATCGTTGAACATTGCGTTGTCGTTCCCGTAGCACATGCGATTGTCTACGGGCAAAACGTTGTGATGGACGCCGTTCAAATTGAACGGTACGACGTGCTTTACTTTGAACTGTTGTTTGAAATTCAGTTTTGCCCGAGTACCGAAATCTTGATCCCATTCGAAAGAAATTTTGACGAGCTGATGGTCCACGAGCTGGTGCGCTCAATCGAAAAAATGTATGATGTTCAACGGCACACTTCCATAAATGCTTGCACGCTTTCTCATTGTACAATCTAAACAAAACGAAAATCAGAAAATAAAAAGCGATTAGAAGTGAGATCATCAGTGTTTGTGCAGATATTTCACACTCACCGAAATACAAACAGGTGCTCTTGCTTTTTACCCTCATCATCGTCTTCGATGACGACTAGGGTTAATTTCTTTTTCTTAAAATCCAATTTGCTAATTTTCTGCCAGAAAAACAAGCCGATTTTCTCGATTTTTTCAGCTCGCTCATTTGGATCTTGAGTTATTTCAAACACTAAAATACCAGTCGGCGTCAAACCAAGATGATAATCACATCCATCTTTGCCCTATCATATTACAAAATAATTTTAATTGAATCAATTTGAAAAGAAATGTACTGAATCACTTAGTTTCAGCATACGTACCAAAACAGTGTGCATATCAACACCGTATAAATCAAGCCATTTGACTTTATTTAAAAATTCAGTCTCAGCTGCGGCGGGTGAGTATCCGCGCCATTTCTTATACTCATCTAAGATCATCAGCTCCAAGTCTTCGGTTTGGTTTGGCACAAAACGAAACTCGGATATAAAGGCAGCTGTATGCACCGATTCATCGTAATCACCAAGTTCAGCTAAAATGAAAACGAACAACGTTTCAATCAATAAAATATTTCTCTCGATGATATCACTTATTTATTGACATTTCTCGGTTTAAATTCTTGTTTTTCAATTCAAGAAAGCAGCCGACAGCACCTATCAGGACGGAGAGAACAAAAAGAAAAACGTCATTAACTCACATTGTAGCGATAATGCGCATAATTCAACGCATTTCTCTTCGAAAGAATGGATGTTTGGATTTTGGTCGGTTGTTTTTGAGTGTAATCGTCCTTCAAGCAAATCTTGTTTTAATTGCAAAAAGAACTGATATCGAGTTAATTCCTCGCGTAAAGCGTTCGGTTCGGATGAATAAAATTTTACTTTCAGACGAAGTGTGTACGGCGGGCCAACTGCAATTTAGAACAGGAAAAAATGATGAAATTTTTTTTATAAATAAATAATCTAACCAAGATAACTTTATGCAATCACATAAAATAGCAAATAATTATCCGATAATTGCACTTACTTTTCACTTGTTTTTTAATGGCTTTTGTTGGATCAAGCCAGTGTTTGACGTGATTTGCATCAGTGAATTGTAATCCAAAATAGTCTTTTTCTATTAAATCCAATGAATAAAACACTTGCTCATATAAGTCATTTCCCATTGCTTTTTTCTAAAACAACAAATAAACAAACAAAAAACAGATAAAACATTAGTAAAATTGATTTGAAATGAGCATATAAATCATAAATCATTTTGTTTAGTTCGAAATTATTAGTTGAAAGCATGTAGTTAAATTTGAAATACCGCCCCTTTCAAAACGCTGTTCCATATTTAATGTGCCCAAAACTCTCATACAATGACTGAACAAAAAAAAAGGCATTTTCGTTTTTGTGTCTCATTATCTCTCTTTTTTTTTGTTGTGATTGCGATTATGGTTACGATGAATGATCATAATTTTATAAAATGCATATGGTAGAACAATGTAGAACCTTTTGCTGTGCACTTCATGGGAAAAAAGACACTTTATTCCTTCCATATGTGAACGAGACAAGAAAAATGCCATGCGAATGACATTGGCACACGACACCAAAACGTAATGTGTGTAATATCGTTGAATTGAAATGATTTTTGCTCAGCGATAAATAATTTCATTTTTTTCTTCACATTTGCAAAAAAACAAAACCGCCACAAAAAGAGTGTTTGTAAATCAATTTGTATTATTTCCAGAGACAGCGAATTCCGAACGAACTAAGCGATTTTCACATAAATTCATTTGTTAGATGTAATTGTGCAAATAAATTCATTCATGCTAGGCAAAAACAAAAAAAGCGTTGCCAAAAATGATTAAATGGAATTGTCTCACATACATAATGCAATAGCAGTGGCAACGACGCTATACAACTATACCGTAAATTAGTGCGACGATGCGAGAAAGAGACCGAATTTTGTTCACATAAGATAAAAGAAGGAGAAGACGAAGAAAAAAGAAGAAAAAAGTGGATTACAAGAATGACGGTGATGTGAATATAGAGTAAACTAAAAACCGCACATTTAATCAAATAGAAACTGTATGAAACCGCAAAACGATCACGAAATCGAAAAACAATTGCCGATGGCCCAAATTTCGTGCCATCAACTCAATCTAGCTGATTGCGTTAATCCATTTTTATAGATTTTGCGTGTGCGCCACACGACGATCCAAACGAATCACAAGATTTTTCATTTGATTAATGCCCAATTACATGCGGTGAACGCCGAACTAAGAATCATTGTATCAGACAGATACGACTTCCCGCAATAATTCAAACAATAGAAAAGTAGAAGAAGCAACAACCACGACAAACGGCGTTGCGACGAAGAAAGGTCTTAATAAAAAAAACAAGCAGAATCACATTAAAAAAATATCAACTTCGAGCGAATGAGGATGACTCAATGTGACGCAATGCACAATAATAACACACAAAAAAACAGCGCACGAATCATCGTATGTAATTAAACGGTGTTCCATTTTCATTACGTTTTTTTTTTTTTAAGGAAAAACAACAAAAATCCATCTAAACGTTTAAACAAAATGTTGTATATTTGAATGAAAACAAATGAAAACATAGCACGGAAAATGTGCGCCTGAGATTAACTTAGTTAGATCGTCAATTTGGGTGCTTTCATTTTGATAGTAATTTGAATGAGAAAAAATAGAACGAAGCAAAATAAAAAGTAAAACCAATTCTTTGTGAACGGAGAATATATAGTGTAGTAGAAAGTTAATGTTAAAGTTTAAGTTATTTAAGTAGTACGAGAGAAAATGGACAACAAATCATGTGGGTCATGCTGTTTGTAATGCGAAAGAGATGGAAAGAGTTGAGATAAAAAAAAATGTTTTTGGACATTGCACTGAGATATTAGAGCTTTAATTCCACGCCGAGAAAGAGCGAGAAAGGTAAAGAAATGAGACATGACGCAACAATGAATTGTACGCAATCTTAACGCTGATTAAGGTCGCGGTTTAAGTGAAGCAAGATCCGTTACGATAAAAAGAACCAAGGCAGACTCCATCCTCGTTGTCCATTCTTTTTTCTCTCTCTCTCTCTCTCTCTCCTCTCTCTCTCCTCTCTCTCTGTCTCTTACTCTAGCTCGCAGTTACCGCTGCGGCAATACAGCATATACCGGTTATTTATGGAATTTCTTTGTTTGCATTTTATAAAGACTATTTTGTGATGTACTTACTGTTAAATAAACTGATAAGTCAGTTCCATCCAGCAATATGACGCGACATTCGATTTGATTTTTATTCGGTAGAATGCGTTGTGATTTAATTTGGCTGGCGGTGTTATTCGATTGTCCATCTCCCGATTGAGTTGCTCCAGAGCTAGCGCCTCGACCCTTACGTCGACTCAAAAATCGTAACATTTTCTTCCTTCTCTCGTTTGTTTGCACTCAATGGTATTCGGTATCAAAAAGATGCGTGCAAAATGTGAATTATTTGCGTTGCCTCTCAATAGAGACACAAAAAAAGAAATGAAGTTGCCGGTAGCAACTCTTCTTGTCCACCGTTTTTTTTTTGTTCCGAGATAATTTCAGTTATTTGTCTTATTCTGATAGCAATTATATCACAATCGCCGGTCAACGTCAATTACTCTCTGCGAATTAATAACATCAATTAAGAAAAAAAGAAAATATTCAGAATAAGCAAAGAACACTTTAATCAGCTTATTGCGCACATATTGGATTTTTTTTTGTTGTTGTTTTGTTTTATGTTGATCTGCGTGCACGCAATACATTAGTAATTCTGTGTGTCTTTTTTTTCTTCTCATATTAAATAAAAACATACAGCAACCGAATAGAATAGTTAAATGACCTGACATATGTGAAGATATAGTCAAGTGCGAAGCACAAAAGAAAATAAACATCGCAATTGCTTGGCATTTTAGTTGTTGCTGGTGGTGTTGCTTATATTAAAATATGTATATTGAATCGTCTTTTTTCTGGTTTTATTTCATGGTCCAATCAAATGTACGCACGATGGACCCAAATGAAGATATAACGAATCGGCAACATCAACCGATCATAATACACTACACAAAACACTCATCGAGCTGTTGTACTCTCCAGCTCAAGATATTTGTGCACTCAATTTTCTTGTGGTTAGATATTGGATTTGCGCATGCCATCGATCGTTTAAAAATGAGAACATCACTTCATATCGATACACTGAGCATTTCAAATAATTTGTGATTTAAGTGATCGCATAGAAAATGTTGCTCTTGGAAGACATTTCTAAAACATTTGTTTATTTTTTTCGGAAAAAATATGCTCTTCGGCGCCACACTCATCCATTGTTTTATCATTCGCAAAAAAAATTGAAAAAAAAAAAACCAAATGAATCACTTGCCCACGGACACAATTCTACATACGCTGTGGCAAAGCGCGGATTAAAAGAAAGAGATATATTTTCAAGTACCGAGTGGCAACAAAAAATACCAATAAACACAACAAAAATGCAAGCAAAGCAACAGTCCACTTTAAAATACAATAATAAATCAATCGTCGATTAAATCGCTGTATGTTTTCATTCACAACTTATCTAATTAAATGGCAAAGTTCGATATCTTTGATAAAATCGATACAAAAGTTCTAAATTATAAAATCTTCATTCATGATCGATAACATTTTTGGCGTTATCGTCCATGAATGCTTCACCAAAATTTGTTAATCGATTTATAAAGATGAATTTCACATGACAAATCCAAAAAAGAAAATCAAAATTACACTATCGCTTATAATTCGATGTCATGGGAGAATTCAGTTGGCCATGATGGTAACGTCCCATGTTAATTTTGATCTGGTCGTTGTTTAATGATCAACATTTCTTTCTTTTATATCTCTCTCTCTTTCTCTCTCTCTTCTGGTTGCTTCAAATTATTTGCGTTTTTCACTATTTCGGTTCCGTGTTCGTTGCAGACAAATAATATGTCCAAAACTGTTTCGTACAATGTCCCAAGCAATTGATCATTTGCTAATTTAATTAGTTCATTAAGTGTGTATTGCCGTTTTCTTTCTTCCAGTTTTCTTCTTTCACACAAATTCGAAGCATGTATACACGAAAATCCACACAGAAAAATTGACAATGGTGACGACCACAACAGCGGCAACGATTACAAACAAACTAACTCAAACCAAATCAAAACACTACGAAACACTTTACAATTAACCAAATCAACTGGAAAATCAATTATGATCGATTTCAATGGATTCTTTAATATGAAAATTATACGGAGACACATGCAAATTAAAAGGAAATGAAACGATTTGTGTACAAATTATAAAAAAAATTGAACTAAGAAGAAGAAGGAAAAAAAATTGACGAAGAAGCAAACTATGTACGCAACGATCGACAGTCGAGTTTTGTGCTGAACTAACACACCAAAACGTGAACATAACAATACCACTGAGCAAACAAACCGAAAGGTGTTATTTCTTGTTCTAAGTGGTTCCATTCTCCTACATTCATACGATATCGGCTTTAAAATGTATGCGTGTGCATTTTTATTGTTGTTGTGCCATCGTTCTTTCATTCAATGGAATGTGTGCGCTCGGTGTTGCCCGATGCACATTTTTCTTTGGTTGATGTCTTTGTAAACAAGTGTTTTCCTCTTACGATTCTACAAAATAAAAATGTAATCTGTATGGATGCATAGCGGGCATTCAATATGATCAACTAATAATATGAACATTTGAGATGATAAATAATTTAATCATTTTATTTTGGTTTTTGCACGTTTTAATTATTATCGCTCTTAAATTCTAAATAAATGCGCCTTCACAATTTGAAAAATTCAGTGCCAAATTAAAGTTTTCTTTACTTTTTCTTTTTCTTCGAATCATCGCCATCGACATTTTTCGGTTTTTGCCAGTTCAATGGTTTTCGACGATAAATTGGCCATGGTGGTACGGCAACCTAAAAATACACATTGATGTTGATTTTGTAAATAAATTTATTGAACACCAATAGCGGTTAAGATTCCGTTCACTACTTACAACAAGAGTGAGCAAGACTCCGGCTGCCAAAATGAAAATCGTTTGCGAAAATTGTTGAACAAATCCACCCCAAATGAAACCGACGATGCCGAATAAAGTAATTATCACTCTTGAAAGTCTTTCCGCCCGTCCTTGCCCTTCAAAATCCTATAATGATCATTAAATAATTGGTTTTTCTACAAACTTTTCGAGTTGACATCTCTATATTATTTAGACTCTAAATAACAAACATGCTATTTTTCTAAAACGAAATCTAAATATTTCGTTCCTTTTTTATGAAAACACTCCAATTTGAAATTGAATTTAGCTCACCATATGGGTTGGAAACATTTCAGCCAAATTCATTTTGTTTCACTTTTGAAATACGAATTGATAGATCAAAACACACGTCAGCTAAATGGACGTTTTTATAGATATGTGGTACTGAATGCTAACAATCTTCAAATGTCATCAAAAAGAAAACTGGAATTGACGGTGGCATGTTAAACGTCATTTTGTTGGAACCGAGATGCAACAACGCTGGTAACTCCAATTACATTTCGAAATATTATGTGTGAACCACTTTATACATTTTTTTTTGTACTTATTTATAAAATTTGGAATATTTTCGGGTTACCACTGTATGGATGGAGATTTTTTGATATCGTTTCGTTTCAATATTTCACTTCATTGAGCTGACGTGTTGCTGTATGCTTTTTGCTTACGATTTCAATAAAATAATTTGAATTTTAAACGTGACTCAAAATGAATCTCGCCGAAATGTTTCCAACCCACATGGTGTGTTAAATAGTCAATTCATCGAAAAATATGTGAAAGGAATATATAAAATTCCGTTTTAATAATTCATCTTTGTTATTTAGAGTCTGATTAATTGAGAGATATCAACAAAAATTAACGCAAAACTGATTGTTTATTGATCATTCTAGGATTTTGAGGGGCAAGGACGTGCGGAAAAACTTTCACGGCGAATAATTATTTTATTTGGCATCGTCGGTATCATTTGGGGTGGCATTGTACAACAATTCTCACAAACGATTTTCATTCTGGCAGCCGGAGTATTGCTAACTCTTGTTGTAAGTTTTGAATGGAATCTTAACCGCTTTTGGTTTTTGATAAAATCATTTACAAAATCAACATCTATGTGCATTTTTAGGTTGCCGTACCACCATGGCCAATTTATCGTCGAAAACCATTGAACTGGCAAAAACCGAAAAATGTCGATGGCGATGATTCGAAGAAGAAGAAAAAGTAAAAACTTTACTTTGGCACTGAATTTTTTAAATTGTGAAGGTGCATTTATTTAGAATTTAAGAGCGATACTAATTAAAACGTGCAAAAACCAAAATAAAACGATTAAATCGATCACAAGGTCCATTTTTACATATATTGTTAATGAAATAAACCAAAATTTGAATGCACATTGTGCGCTTTATCGTAGGATTTGTATGGAAAACAATTTGTTTACAATGACAGCAATCGAATATGAATCGGGCAACACCGAGCGCATACATTCCATTGAAAGAACGATAGCAACAACAACAAATGCACACGCACACATAAACAGCGATATCGTATGCATGTAGGAGAATGGAAGTGCCGAGAACAAGAAATAACACCTTTCAATTTGTTTGCTGCGTAGTGGTATTGTTATGTGTTCACATTTTTGGTACACAATTCATAACTCATACCAGTACATATAGACGAATTGGTACGCACATGCATACGAAAGCGTGCAACAATACATAAACAAATAACAAAATGAAAATGTTTAACAAATTCCCGTGAGCATAAAAACAAAAACGAAAACGCATTTTGGTGATAGATTTTCTATTGTGTGTGTGAGTGTATGTGTTTTATTTTATTTTTTTTTGACAAGTGACGGTGTAATGATAATACAAACTACACTAAAATTCTCACTCTCTTTAAATCTCAATCACAAATCCACAGAACAGTAAATTTGTGTCAGTGTCCGTCTGGATGGTGTGCTTAAAACCAGTAAATGGATTTTCAAACAAAAAACACACATAAAATTCAAAACAAATTTCGACGATCATTTTTGTGTCCGAGGCATTGAACGTGTTAGCAATCAATACACATCGAGTTCTTAAGCGCGTTCGATTGTTTTTCTACTTCATTTTCTTATTATTTTGTTTTATTGTATTTTTCAAATATTTTTTTTTATTTTTGTTAATTGATTGTTGCTGCCGTTGTCATTGTTGTTGTTGAATCGTTGTATTTTTTGTTGGTTTTGTCTTCGGTTTTAACATTCGCCAAAGATCGCCTGAACAGTGCATGCTAAATGTTGCATCTGTCCCTTTTTTTCACAACACAAATCACTTCTCAACGACGTGCAACGAAATCGTAAACAGTGTTTCATTTCAACCAGGGGAATTGATCAAACGCGTCGTTCATTCGAAATTCTAAAAATTGCGCCATGAATATTTGTGATAACAATTTATTCGGCAATGGATTATTGTATGTAACATTTAACCAAGATCAAGGTAAGAGTCCAAAAAAAAAAATTGTTGGAATTTTGTAAAATAGAATGAAAAATGCAAAGTAGTGTGATTTTTGCTTTTGTTTGTTTCGTCTCGTTTCGTGAAAAAAAGTGTCACTAATGACAATTTCAATTAAATTAATGCGCCAAACCTATTTATTTCGCTGAAATGCAAATCTATTTTGATAAGATATCATGAGCGATGGCGGATGTTTGTCATTTTTATTCTCTTCTTTTTCTTATTTTTCTGTGCATACAGGATCTGTGCACCATCCATTGGAATCGTGCACATATTCACGAATCAGTATAAATAGCCAGTCGAAAAATATTTAATTCGTTATTTTTTTGTTTTGTTTTTCAGGGTGTTTTGCATGCGCAACAGATAATGGCTTCCGAATATATAATGTGGATCCATTGAAGGAAAAAGAACGGCACATATTTTCGGAAGGTGGTCTTGGTCATATTGAGATGTTGTTTCGTTGCAACTATTTGGCACTCATTGGTGGCGGCATTCGATCATTGTATCCACAAAATAAAGTGATCATTTGGGATGATTTTAATAAAGCACCAACATTTGCACTTGATTTCGATTCACCGGTGAAAGCCGTTCGTTTGCGACGTGATCGAATCGTTGTTGTACTTGAGGGTTTGATCAAAGTATTCACATTTACATCGAAACCACAACAATTGCATGTATTCGAAACGAATTCGAATCCGCTTGGCCTATGTGTACTCTGTCCAAGCAGCAACAAACCAATTCTAGCCTATCCATCCCGCATGAATGGTCATGTGTCGGTAAGCCCAATAAATTTATTTGTGATTACATTCCCGTTAATTGAACGCAAATGATATTTTATTATTTTGTTTTTATTAAATTGCAGATAGTGGATTTAGCCAAAACAGATCGTACACCGCTTGAAATAATTGCACATGAGTCGGCTGTTACATGTTTAGCACTCAATATTCAAGGCACACGTTTGGCAACAGCCGGTGAACGTGGAACATTAATTCGAATCTTTGATACAAATGACGGAACCAAATTGGCAGAACTACGCCGTGGCACCCATCATGTAAGTGCAACCCTTAATGTCTTCTATGTGTCAAATATCCAGCCTTATTTTTTAATTTTATTTTTATTTTTTTTAATCTTTAAGGCAAGAATTTATTGCATCAACTTTAATATGGAGTCAACAAAAATTTGTGTATCCAGCGATCATGGGACAATACACATTTTCAATATAGAAGAAACCCGAACAAAAGACCAAGGTCTGCAAATTTTACCCAAATACTTTACCAGTCAATGGTCATTTTGCAAATTTTCGGTACCACAAGGAGCGCCTAGCATTTGGTAAGAGTGCGACTCTGATATGTATAAAATAATGGCATATACAATATTTTAATTTCGAATTTATTTTATTTCAATAGCGCATTCGGTCCGGATGGAAATTCTGTAATCGGTAAGTCATATTGTTCAATTAAAAATTAAGATGCGTAAAAGCAACCATTTTAATGAATGATTTTTATTTTATTTTTTCGCAGTGTTGTGCGCAAATGCATCCTACTATAAGTTTAGTTTTAATTCAAAAGGTGAATGCACAACAGACGTTTGTACACAATTTTTAGAGTTGAGCGATGAGCACACATAAATCGCCCTCCACCATAAATATACGATAAAATCCGCATACATACACACATTACACGTTCAACCCTCTACTGCTGACCGTCCAAAGACGGGATTTTAGCATTAAACTTCTTCTTCAGGTTTTCGATCCAACACGAATAAGTTTTTTTTTATTTTTTTTTTTTTTTCAATTATACTCTTACATAAATTGAAGCGAAATATGAGGAAGTGAAAAAAAAAAAAAAAACTCATGAATATTAAAAAAATGTGAAAAGTTGAAAATCGAATTTTCATCATTTTTTTCGTTATTTGCATCCCAAAGTAATATTACAATATATCGAACAATCGAGCAGTAGGGGGTTAAATCATATTTTGAATGACTGACAATTGGATGGCGATAAGCGATCGATAACAATAAACAATAATATAAACACATGAATCAGCAATAGATATGTGCACTTTTAACACTTGCTATTCATCTTCTTTTTACGATAAATAATTAATAATTATTATAATTCACTCCCAAAGTACCATTTACCTTTGATCATGGGTAATATTGTTCTATATGTTCGCGTTTTTTCTTTCTTTTGATAAAAATGTAAGGGATAAGATTATTGTAAACAGAGACAAGCACAAAAATGCATATTATTTTTGCTGGATGAGATCAAAGAAAAATATAAAATGTGAAAATCGGTAGTGAGATGATAATTGTTGATAAAAAAAAACACTTTTTAAAACATTTTGGTAATTATTAAAATATATATTGATTTGATCTCTATCATTAATGATAAGCATTTTTGTCCGAATTGAACAAAATGAATATTCTATGAGAAGAAATGCGACGAACGATGATCGATTCATTGAAAATTATTATTGAAAGAAAAAATGATATATATATATATAGAGATATGAATTTTTATCACAAATTAATTTATTGGCTATATTTTGCATAAACGAAACTTTTCAAATAAAATAGCAAGCGGAAATGATGTTAAAAGTTAAATGAAACTCTTTTATTTCGATATTATTCGCGGAGAACAAAATATTCAATTTAGTCTGCAGAAAATCTCACATCGATATTTTGTACATATATTTTTTTTACCGACGAAATATCCATCAACAAAATTGAATATTTATTTTTTAACGCGTTTTTAGTACACTTATTGAATCGGTTTTTGCATTGAAAGATAGAAAAAGATTATCATCTTGTCCAATTAAAAAAATCCAGAAAGTGTGTTTATATATGAACCGGCTAGAATATTCGTGACCTAAAGAAATTTGCCAAAAAAAAAAACTGCAACGTGCCCATACATTTTTCATATGAACATGTTGCTCTTTTACTTTAACACATTTCCTGAGCTCACGAATATTCTAAGCGATTGATATATATTCAGTTTATTGAATCATCTTCAGTAGCTGTCTATTCCGATGCTTTGAATATGAGATTCATCAAGATCATCTTTGGCTTCACTCTAAAATTTGATTATATGAGTTTTTTTTGTTACAGTATGGGGTAATCGCAATGTATGGAGCAAAAAAAAGTGCCGATGAAAAATACATTTTCCATTCATGATTCAATTCAAAGTCTTCACACCTTTGTTTTGTTCAATAACCCTCTTTTCGGTCAAGTCTTCTTCTTTTGCATATTGACGAGTTATGTTGTTTAGCTGAAATTAAATGTCGTTTAGCTGAAATTTAATTTTCCTATATAAAACAAATGAAATAAAAATGCACTGTTTTTCCATCTGAATTGACGTATTCAAAAAATATTTGAATATTTATTCGTATTTTCCGGCAACAATCAAGTCATTGTTTTATGTTCGAATTTGGATGATGTTTCGAATTTAAGCATTGGCAATGGTAACTTCAACTTCCACTCCTGGTTCGATGTTGATTGATGTGATTTGTTTGACAACTTCGCTTGGTGAGTGCAAGTCAATGATACGCTTGTGAACGCGCATTTGGAAGCGATCCCAAGTTTTACTACCTTCACCACAAGGTGTTTTACGGGTGGTGATACGAAGAACCTTTGTTGGCCAACGTACTGGTCCCTTGACACGGAGTTTTTGCTTCTTGGCACCGGAAATCAAATCGGCACAGACTTTTTCCAATGAACGAACGTTGGTCGATGTCAATGTGATCCGAATACGATGAACGGTTGCGGATTCTGATTTTGGTTTTTCCAAATCTTTACCTTGAGTTGCCTACGAGAAAACAATGAAAAAAATCAATAAACACAATTTGAAATTACTAACAGTTCGAAATTGGCATGAGGTTTTTTTGTGTGGTTACAAAGTTAGGTTATGTTTATAAAATGTTAAAAAATAGTAATAATTTTGAATTTATGTCCAGAATTTTCACATTTTATTTCACTAAAATTATTTCCATCAATAATACTCACCATGGTTATTTAATTTCAATTAATTTCGGTCGAGATAACAATTATAAAGATTATAATTGAAAGCGCTGAACCTTCTTATTGAATTGCTACGAGCAAAATGGACGAGTCGATGACAGTTTCACATGGTTCTTACCTCTGCCTCGTGTTAAAGCATTGACACTACGACCGAAACGTATCGGGCAACACAAATTTAATATAAAGTATTTGCGATGAAATTTTACACGTTCTTTTATTCATTCAAGAGAGAATTCAAATTTATTTTCATCATATTTACAATACGGGTCGCCGATAGGCTTTCAAAACATTGTGATCGTAGAATGTATGAATCAAATGGTACATATATGTGAAAAAGAAGAATAAATTATCGTATTGTCCACAATACGGGGAGCAAATTGTCATAGAACCATTGTTACTGCTCGATTCCGACTCATTTTGTTGTTCGATTTTGATGATCATGTCATCGCGAATAAAATCGGTCTGCATTTCAAGTGGTCCAAACGCTTTATATGAATGATCCAAGCCCCATGCATTGATATGCACTTCCAATAGAAATTGATGAATTGCTATGCCACAAATTCGAAAACATTAATCAATCAACCAACAATATTGAGTGAATTTTTTATTTGTATTTACCTTCAATCGTTGCCAAGTACCATCTGGGACTGCCTCTTTGATGTCGCCAAAATTGTGACAGACGATTTTGCAACACAACCGTACGCAAACAATTGACACGCTTATCATTGAAAATGCTCTTACATTGATTCCATGTACTGTCAATGAAGACAGCCTTTTTTATTGGTAGATTTTCTAAATTATACGTGAAATGTTTACGACGGCCATTTGGTTCCTTTTCATTCATGACTTCGGTTAGACGATGTTTTAACAATGTGGTTTGATTTATTCCCCGAGGTAGATTTAGGTCGTCAAACGTTTGTAACCGAACATGATTATCGAATATCCCATCGACATGAATGGAATTATGTGTCGGAAATATCAAAACCTGGTCAATACGAATGTAATTTATTAAATTATTCGAAATTTTAAATGAAATTTTATAGTTACCGTTTCATCATCAGGACTATAATCAGGTATATCAGGGTATGTGTAAATGTTAACGTTGTCTGCAGCCAAAATAGCTGCATGGATTGCGGTCGATTTACCATCAATTTCTCTTTGATGTTTGATAATATCGATTTTGAGGGGCAGTTCAACCTTTGGCAATCGATTCTCTAGATCTTGAACGGGAACGTAACATGTGTAACAAAAGAATTTACGAGATTTCGAACATTTTGGACACGGACTTCGACTGTCCATGTCATACAAAAATGTATTATCATCAATTCGCATAAATTCAAAGGGATCACGATGACCAAATTTTTCACTTTTATTATCCGTTTCAATTGGCTCTTCTTCGGATCGAACTGCGTTCATATTTTCACGTAAATCAGTCATTTTCACAAATAATTTCAATCTTTTCCAAATGAATACCTAGCCAACTAAATTCTATGACAATAATTTGTTTGTGTACCAAAAACACGCGACAGCTAAATTTTAGAAATGAACCGGCTGTCAAATGTCATTGATTTGACAAAATTCAAACTCTAGACAATTTGAATATTTACCAATGAATATCATAAAATGTAGGAAAAAAAACTATGTAAAAATGTTTCGTTAATTGGAGATTTTTTTAACATTTAGCACACACAATGGGATATTAATTAATTAATTATTTAGGACATCCCGAGATTTCAGACTTTGTATTAAACCAAATGGCGCAAAATTTAAACTATGGCTTCAATAATATGAACTTATCTGTTTAAAATAATTGCAATGATTTAAAGACATTTTAAATGCGCCGAGTTTGAAAGAGAAAACTTAAATATAAACCGATTGGATATTTTCCAATAATTAAAAGTCACGAAACCAAATAAAAATGCAAAATGACAAAAACCAAACCACTTAATGTTTAAATGTGTGTCATACATAAAAGTGTTTGAATTTAATTGCAAATAAAATGTTATACTTTAAATCGATTTGTTCTTTATAAATATCCTGAATGAGGTCATTTCAAAATGAATATTTTCTTAAATGTATTTTCAATAAATGATTCCATTGAATCTTTCCGACCGAGAATTAGCATGACGTCAATTCTGTTGTATGAATGTAACAATAATCCTTCAAGACTGGTTTTGTGTCCAATTTCTTTCATGTATTGCACCACACTAGACATATATGTTGTGGTTAAATTGTGTGTCATTTATGAAACGGAACGTTAAATTGCGAATGACTTTGCTGAGTGAATAATTTGTACCCAGTAAATTCTTTTTTTAGGCTGTCGCTTCACATACATTTGAACATATTCACTCGCAAAATTATTTGGCGTTTATTTTGTTTTTTATCTGAATAACAACAATTCGTCGACAAAATGTGAGAGATATTTTTGAATGTGTTGTCAATGTGAGTAAACATATATGCTTCTTAGTTTAGATGCTTTTTTTCTTCTTCATGTTCACATACAATTTGTGATTATTCTGCGATTCGGCACAGACGAGTTAGCTCTCGTTTTAGCGTCGTCAAAGGGTCCGATCACGTTATTTTAACATACAGTTCAAGATCGTAAATCGGCGAATAATTACATTTTGCTGGCGCTGCATTGCATATCCACCTTAAAAGCATTGCAATTGAGTTCAAATTCTTAATACATAGGGAACTATGCAAAAAATTACATTGAATTATTGAAAAAAAAGCTTCAATCAAAAAAAATATTGTTGTTTAAAATTATTTTATTTTTTATTTTAATGGAATAAAAGTGTGTGACGACGCTTTTACTAACACTTCCGAATCGCTGAAAAAGATTTTTTGGTAAATCATGGTAAAGGTCTGTTAAAAAAACACCCATATAAGGATGGATTCAATTTAATGTGTCGTGTCTTAACCATATTCAAATTAACGGTAAAACATTTTAAGTGGAAAAGTGAATTAAATATTGTAAATCATTAGAATTAGCACATTTGAATTGTATAATAATCAGTCATGGATACATGGGGAGCATTGACCAATGCCACCTCAGTGATGTCACGAGATGACCTGAGCATCCGACGAAAAAATGGAATCGTAAGTCATTTGCCACAAATCTTTGAGTGAGTTTGAATGACCACCCAAATTGAAACGTACTGGACTCGAGAGAGAGAGAGAGAGAGAGAGAAATCGTTGATTTTGAACGTATCTTTTGATCTCATGTTTGATCTAAATCAAAGCCAATTCCAGTATTTAAATACATTAATCAAACTATCGGCGGTATAGACACTCATCTATTTAAATTACTTAACGATTGGAGTCACCATATGTTGTTGTCAAAAACAGATGAGTAACGTATGTCAAATCCGCATTCATCTTCCGCACCGATCGTTTTTCTTTTTATTTAACATGTGTTAACTATGAACAGAATACAAACAGAAGTTGAGCGAATCGTTGCGACGGATCACAATAGTCGACGTGAATATTTTCTTGCTCCAAACGCTAGCGAAAAGCTATTTTGGAATGGCCTAGCGAAAATGTGTGCGTTTTGAGACAGAGACAACACAATGCCGTGACTCTATGAACCGAAAAAAGAAAAAAAAACGAACAAAATGTGAAAATTGTTTGTATAGGTCTCCTCTTTTTTTAGCTATCCCGAGAAAACGCTCTATTGAATTAGTAGAACAAATTTTCTTTTGATTTTGTTTCAAATATCGGGAATTAGTTTCATAAAATTGATTTTCACGTCAAAAAAAAAAAAAAGGAATTTCTAACGATTTTATTTTTGTTTATTGTTTGATTAACGAAAAACCAATATCGTGTGTTCATTTTTCAAGCATATTTCCTCATTGTAAAATTTAGTAATTTAAAACGAACGTAAAACCATAATGGAAACTGATATTTGGGGTCAATTGGCATTAGAAGCTTCATCAGTTTATGTGACAGATGGTTCGAATGTGAAACGAAGCCCATTCGCAGACACGGTATTTCAAGTCACACAAAATATTTCTAGATATGAACCATATTGAATATTGCACAATTCACCAGATTTTTCACCATTATATCATACCATAACTCGTATTTATTGTTGTTGTTTTATGTGTGATTCTCTGAAAGCTTAACAAAATGTGTTCAAACAAAAAAATATTGAATTTCAATTGTTCGAAAATGTTCTGCATGATATTCATTCGGTTGATGTTATTTTAATTACAGACGATTGATAAGCTTCCCGATAAAGTTCTTTTGAACATTTTTTCGTATGTATCGCATCGTGAAATATGTCGAATGGCACGGGTGTGCCGTCGCTGGCGTCAAATGGCTTACGATACACGATTATGGCGAAATGTATCGTTGCGCCCTGAGGTGTCCGGTTTGCACGTTGGATCTCTCGATATGCTGTTGTCATTGATTTCGGTTCGATTTGGAGCCTCATTGCGTTACATTGAGCTGCCAATTGAGCTAATTACACACACAGTACTGCATGAATTGGCCGCTAAATGTCCAAATTTGACACATATGCTACTGGATTTTTCGACAGCTATGCAGTTACATGATTTCAGTGAAATGCAAGCCTTTCCCACCAAATTGCGCTACATGTGCATCTGTTTGTCAGAAGTTATCTTTATGGAAGGTTTTATGCGAAAAATTTACAACTTTATCAATGGTCTTGAGGTTTGTGTTACAAAATAACATATATACAGGGTGGGGCATATAATAGGCTCACTCTTAGGGGGTGGGAATTT